TCTCTCTCTCTCTCTCTCTCTCTCTCTCTCTCTCTCTCTCTCTCTCTCTCTTTCTCTCTCTGATATGCAGGCGTGGTGATATTCTGAGACGTACCATACATCTCTTCTATTGGCAGGAAATGTCAACCTTTCATCTCATGAGTGTGTAGCAGACTGGCCATAATATATTAAAATATTTATAGCTATATATTTATGGCAGACTTTTAACAAGAGTTTTATTACAAGGATTTTTTTTCGAAACCATTTGATCAGAGATATTTAGATCTATTCTGCAAACTTTAAAAAATTTCAACCACCAGGAAATCCTGCTTCAATCCCTCTGTTGATGTGATTATCAAAAATGTCTTTTTTTTACTCCGCGCATCGTAAAACCATTTTTGGAATCGGAGTAACAATTTCAGTTACCTATAAGTAATCGAATCAACGCTGGACGAAAACGGGTACGACGAAATTTGAACATGAAAATTATGGGACGAAAACGGGTCCTCCCAATCAATGGTAACCCTTTGTAACTGGACCATAGGACTATCGGTCTCACGTGACATACAGATCCTCGTGGTGAAATCACGCGCTAGCCGGGGACTCTCGTCGTGGCCTAGAGGTTAAGGTGTTGGCCTCTCTTCCAAAGGTTCCGGATTCGAATCTGGGTGGCGGCCGAAAAATTTTCTTCTCTAAAATTGTCTCCTTTTACCTCCTTTTCTGCTCTCTGGCAATGTTCTGTCGTCTGCTTTCGCCTCTTCTTTCTGCCCCCACCCCCTCACATCCTTTGCCCACTCCTTTTGGCTCCTGACTCTTTCTGCAGCCTTTCTACTGCTACTCCTTGGCTTCTTCTTACTGCTGTCTGTCAGCCACACCCCTGATCTTCTGGTAGGTAAGATCTACATCTAGCCTTCTCGGACAAGGGTGAAAAATCTCGGAGGGCCGTGTGCAAGTCGCGCACGTTAAAGATCCCTTTAGTAGTCTAAAATGGATAAAAGTAGGCTTCGGCGCCACAAGGGCAAAACTCAAAATTTCCTACCAACTGAAAATATTAGGTGTGTCCCGCGCGCTCATATGACCTTATGCAGTTGCGAGCGCCGTAAAACACTTACAAAAAAAAATATAAATAAAAAATTTTTAACGCGCTTGCCAAAATCAAAACGAAGACATCGACATTTTTTCCGCCCGTTGAGCAATTTTTATCGAATTGATTAGTTATGGGCTCAACACGTTATACATCCACTAAAGGACACATTCCTGGGCGGGTATTTCTGAAAATATTGATCAAAGTCAAAGGCATGAAAATGTACATTTGCAAATTCCAGGAACA